TGGATCTGCCACCAGCCTCCCTAGCTACTAGTAGTACTACTACTAATAGATTGCTTCTTGCTCACCAAGATCATTCAGGTTCTATTCCCTCATGGTAATTCTAGTAGACACAGCACTAATCGCATCAAGAAGGATCTTGTATTTAGCCCAATGGGTCCCCACTTGGATTGGTATGTAGGACAGGGGATAGCATGAGAGAGAGGGTTGGTCTTGGGTGGTGCTGGTCTGTATCCAACCACTAGTAGTGGTTGGATGAGAGCCTAGATATTACTAGTCCCAGAGGAAGTATCGCTCTAGTATATCTGTATCCCCAGGTGTTTTATGGGCCTCAACATCCCCGCAGATAGTATCAACAATGAAGTCAGCAAAGACATGAGCTGTGGTCCCTGCTTGCTGAATCACATTGAGGACCCACCCCCTTGGGTTCTCCATGACACTTCCTCTAGTGGTGGCTGGAGGGAAACACCACGGATCCCCTGGCTCTACAACAGCAAGCAAGATAGTGCCCAGGCTTCCTCACTTGAAAGCAATGACATTGGTTGGTTCTTTCAATCTCCATACCAAACTCATCCATATCAATAGACTTCGTCCTTGGAATGCTCACGACTCCTAGTACTGTCGTAGGAGGCTCATTGTAGAAGATGCAAGAAGCCCTGAACAAGTTCTCAGGAGTGAAGGCTTTATAGGCCTGAGTTGCTCCAACCTTGTTTCTTGTCTGTCCCATTTCTTTCAGTCTGGCCTGTATCTGCTAACAAGAGTACAATTCCCCTCCTCTATTATAAACATAGGCAGCATGATTGTCAAGGGATGAATTAGATGGAGCACAAGATCAAAAAGCTCCCAACCTACCAGGGTTTCTTAATCTTTGTTGGCTGTCGTTCTGTATCTACTAGTATGAACTCTCTGTTTCCATCTTATAGTAATGAATTGAGCCCTTGCTTCTTGCAACCATCCTCTCCCCATTGTCATACCTTCTTTCAATATCCCTCAGCAGTCTTTCATGACTATTGTAGCCTCCTCTTGCTCCCCCAAAAGCAGGGTCACCAGGGTCTTCAGCTATTTTCTCTTTCATGTCAAAATCACCAGTTTGATTTCAAAATGACCAATTATGACAATTACTCCTCATTGATGTACTAGTACTTGTCCCATTTGCTGCAGTGGCTAAGTGTTGTTGTAGAGGCTATCAATGTTGGCATTGACATTGCTATGCTTCTTCACCTTGTTGCTGCTCCTCAACTTTGGAGAGGAACTGATGGCAATATTTCTTGTAGGACTCAAACTTGTCCCACAAGGTGTCAGTTGGTGCAGCGTGCCTATCACAGCCAAAGCCGTCTGCATTTATTGTTATTGGGTTCTTTTTAATGTCAGAAATGACTGAGTGTGGTCCTTCCTTCTTTTAGTAAAAGGCACTACCAAGAAAATTATGGTACTAAAAGTGATACAGTATCATCCAGCATCCTCACTCACACAACAAACTTTCAACGAGTGATCCATGAGAATCCATCTTGGTGAATCGGTNATGGTACTAAAAGTGATACAGTATCATCCAGCATCCTCACTCACACAACAAACTTTCAACGAGTGATCCATGAGAATCCATCTTGGTGAATCGGTTTGCAAACACGCCATTATTAATGAGTGTCTTACCGATTGGTTTCCTTGCTTGTTGATCGGGTTGCAAAATTGGAAATCATGATTCTACCTTTATGGCTTTGGCAGTTAAAATAAATTATATACTAGAACCGACAATACTATTGCCTATGAATCAAAAGGCAAAAAGTACATTTGAATGTTGTGGAATTTCTGGTTCTTGATAAATTTACATCTATTTGTAAAATTAATGAGCASGCTCTGCAAGTTGAAACATGTACATCGACGGTTTCCTTTACTACAASTCGGACACAATCCACTTTTCACCCTCCGAAAGTAAGACACCGATCATGGGTGTTCCGTAATACGTCGCAAGGATTGCCAAAACGACCGTGGTAGTGATCCGGTTCATRTTCGTCATTTTCCCCCTTGCGCCGGGTGCATCCTTTGCCAGTTTCTCTGTGTGCAGGGCCGCCTTGCCGACGGGAGCAACGGTAAAACCATCCCCCTTGACGCATGGTATCATGTCACCGACAAGGGTCTGCCCCGGGATCCGAACCCTTCCCTTTCCAGCTTCTCGCATAGCAAGCTCGGCCAGAGACAGATTGTTTTCTACATAGGGATATGCAAATGACTCGGCCAAAGGAATATCGACGAATCGGTCTTGTTTGATGATCGGGACTCGCACGGAGTACTCTCCAAACATRTATTTTTTCATAGCCTTTGTCTTCGCCAAGTTTTCACGGAGGATTCGTGTCTCCATCACGGCTTCGGTAGTCGCTAGTTTTTGCTTGAGTTTCTCGGCCTGTTCTCGTCTACGACGCTCTTCGTCGGTCTCGGGTTTGATCAGGCTAAAGTAGTATAGGTCCAACAGTTTCATCCAGGGCCCAAAAATAGTCCACGCGAAAATCCGAGACCCCCACTTGATGCACCAGGCCCATGGGAYGAACAAACACAGAATGGACATCACGAGGCTGCCCGTTGTGATCCAAAACGAAAAATACGCCTCCTGCCACGTGAAAACGTGTTTCAGAACACGCACGCCTTTGACAACAATTCCGAGCGTGATCTGGATTGGGAATAAGGCCGCCCGCATGGGATCGATCGCGAGTCCCCCCTCCCCGACCTTTGTGCCAAGTTCCGTGTCCGCCTCTCCGATTTCTGCCAGTTCCCTTTGCCGCTCCTTTTCGGCCTCGGTTGCTGCTTCGGCTAGCTCCTCGGCCCGCTTCTCTGAATCCTCCACCCGCTTTACCCATTCTTCTTCTTCCTCCCGTGCCTTATCAAAATTCTCGAATGGTTGGATCCGGTGGGGCTCTACATGGTCGTCTCCCAGTAACAGCATGTTCAGGATTTGAAAGTACGAATGGCAACGGACCCATACGTTTTCGGAACTCATTCGCCATCCACCGACAGCAATGAGCAACCACGCAAGAGTTCCAAAGCAATAGGACGGAAAGAGCGTTGGATTTTCCACCAAGACAATAGCAAGGACAAACGCTATTGCGGAGTGAACGGGGAGCTCAATCGTTTTYCCCCACAGGGGCACGGTCAATTCGAAATGGCCTCGCCACAACAGGACGGTCATGAGGGCATCCTCGATGTAGAACGCCACGTGCTGGAGCTCGAAAAGCTCATCGATGTGAGATTTTAGCGTGGTAACACTGTACTTGTTTTCATCAATTGATCCGAAGCACGTTTGACGGATGACTTGAAAGTCTATTGCTTTCTTRGTGTTCACGTAGGTGGGCACGGGAGGTCGGAGGGTGGCCATTGCCAGCTCCCGCTCGTCGTTGATTTCCATACGCAATCGAATCATGACTTTTCCCTTGCTCTTGCGYTTGGCCAGCCGCGCGGATTGGCAGATGTTGTAGCTCAGAACGTATTCCGTAGAGGAACGAAAGTTGGTGAGGTCCACCGAGACCCTCCCGATCAAGTCGTGATCGGCGAGGGGGCCAGAATCGTAATCAAAGACACCAATGTTGATGTTGCTGCTGGGATGGGACATGTTGAAAATAAAGGCACGGTTGGACCAGGGTAGCCACCGGGGAGAGAGGCAATCGTCGACGACATCGGTTCTTCCKTGCACATCTTCGTAGACGCAGGACACAAAGGCATCGGTTTTGTTTCCATAAAAGCCACCGGTATCCATGTTGGGTAGATCGTCGCACCCCAAAATCTCCACAAAGACCTGCCCCAGAGTCCCCTCCCCCATGTCAACCCACTGACGGGAAGTCTTCAGGACTTCTTTTTGCAGATCTGCATCCGACATCCATTCCGTATCGCTAGGAGGGCGCGACGGATCGGAACCGGGGCGAATTTTGTACTGCAATGGTTCGGCAAACAAACCAAAAAATCATAAAGAAGCAAGTCAACGGCGAAGCATGAGAGCATCTCCCATGCGAAAGTTTAAGGGGTTCCTGTGGCATGCACCGCACCGCACCGCACTGCATTCAATCCGATAAAACCAAACGAATATCCAACACTTGCAGACAAAACAAAAACCACCTTCCAAACAGGCAATCCAGAARATTTTGCACTCCGAATACATCGTGTACCATACACCGTCTTCCATGCCACTACCCACCTTGATGATTCCGTCCTCCCTGTCCCTCTTCTTGACCTTCGTGGTGATCGTCTTGAAAACGTTCGTGGTGGCGTCGGGGGCATTGTGTTCGGCGGCTACGCCACTGTCCATTTTCTTTTCTTCGTTCCTGCGATATTCCGCCATGAAGCTCTGGTCGTACTCGGTCGCCCTCCGGCAGCGAATCACCAGAATGCCACGTTTCTCGGGTTCGGACCCGACCGAAGCCAGCTGTTGCTTGTGGGGCGGGAGGCCCAGCCCGAATTCCATCCGCTCGCCGTTGGCCTTGTACAGGACCTTCGGATCGACCTGGCAGACGCCCAGGACGTCGTGCTTGCCCAGGTTGTCGTAGTCCTTGACGACAAAGTTCATCCCTTCCTCGATGAAAAGGCGCTTCGATTCGATGTGCAGCAGGAAGAGCGAGCCGGTTTTCAGCGTCCAGATGGGATTGAGAGTGCGAAAGCGAACCTCGGTCCGGTGGACCTCCTGGTGGCCCAGCATGGCCACGACGTACGGATCGGACGACGTGTARTCCCCCACCGGCAGGTCGTATCCGGCAACAATCTCTACCAGAAGGGTGATCGTCTCGTACTGGGGGAGAACCATCTCCCCACCCAGGGCCACCTTCAGCCGGCGGTCCTGTCTCTGGGCCTCGAGCCGTTTTTGTTTCTCCACCAGCTTGCAAAAGGACTTTGCGTCCCCGGTCGTGTCGAAAATGAGTTCCCGTTCCTGCTTGAAGTCGTCAAAGGAAACGAGTATGCTCACGGCTTTCTTGTTGGTGGACCGGACGTAGAGCCCGTGCATCGGTATCGAGTACTTGGGAGCCCATTCGTCGTAGTGCTTTCCTCCGTGGTCCGCGAGCTGGTAGAAGCGGGAGTAGGAGTTGACCGTGCTGTCGTCRTCGTCGTCGTCGTCGTTYGTGTAATTGTCTACCACGTCGCCGTCGCCTCTGGCAACACTCGAAGCGTGGAGGTCCCGGCGGCTTCCGACATGGGTGTCGGCGCTGCTGGGGGCGGGGCCCTTGTGCATCARGTGCCGAAGGGCTTCGTTGCGGACCTTTCGGTTGAGTTCCCTCGTAGCCGGTACGAGCAATCGAACCACGCACTCTTCGTAGGAATCGGGCTCTTGCGCATCGTCGTTCTCGTTCCCGTTGTCGTTGTCGTTCCCGTTCTCGTTCCCGTTCTTCTCTTCCTCCAACCCCACCGGTGTCACCCTGTGGATTTCGATGCTGCACCTCCGCCGGTGCTTGTGCCGGTTCACGAAGTGGGGCACCACCTTGCCGCTGACCGAGTTCGAGGGCGGCGGGGTCCAGACGTCCCAGGTATGGGCGGTGTCCACGACTCGCGAGAAGAGTTTCTGGTTGGCGGTCGCCCTCTGGTTCTTGGCGGCCATCGCGGCCATCCTGGACGYGTAGGCGAGCTTCGACCATTCGTCGTCCGGGTTCATCTTTTCTTTGTCGAAGGTGTCGGGATCCTCCTTTTTCTCCTCTCCCTTCCACCGAGAGAGGGCCTGGCCTGCGACGCGATCGCGATTCTCGCGAACCGCAGCGGCAYCTACGGTACCGGCGGCGGCCTGGAATCTGGACCTGTTGGGGTTGCTGCGATCGCTGCTCCGCATTCTTTTCGTTTCCGAAGACATTTTGCCGGTGCCGTGCCTCTGGATCCGATACAATCCGATCCTCTCCCGTTCTCGTTCTGTGTTGTTGTGTGCTTTTACTCGTGTTGATTATGGATAGCARCTTCCTCTCTCTCTCTTTCTGGATCGCAGAAACTGTTTTACTTTAATCGCAACTCAACTCAACTGAACTCAATTCAATTCACGAACGAAGATTATTGCGTTGCATGCATTCGAGATGTTCCTTTACTTGCAGAACTTTGTWTGCGGATGATGCTGTCATCACTTGAAATGGTTTTTGTATCGCTTCGAATCCGGCAAAATGCGTTCTTTCCCAACCGCCGTAACGTATCGTGTATTACTAGTATTTATTTAACCTTAATTGTACGGTACCGTACCTACCTTGTACGAATTTACTGTACGCTAGTTTAACAGTATGAAGTCATGTGATTTTGGATTTTGGATTTCGGCTTCGTGTACCGGTATCCGTGCCTGCCGTACGGTGCTTCTACCAAAACTGTTTCCTTGCGTTCAGCAGGCACAACGGTTCGTACGTACCCGTAGTTTGGTCATCTTATTATTGCATTCCATTATGAAAAGAGTGATAATTCATTCTACAGGTATGTTCATAGTTCATATAAAGGTATGTACATACATATTACATATGCTCATACCATTTTGCATCATAGACCATAGACATACCGCAGATACGTTGAACACTTTCGCATGCGTAGTACGTATCGTACGTTCATATCCAAATATTAGAAGCTCGTAGCTGTTGCGCTTACTATTTCCTTASTATTACTAGAATAGGCTCGTAGCTGTTGCGCTTACTATTTTACTACTATTGCTATTCTTCCAACAAGACGGAATGCCGCAATCCACYACCGTCGACGCGATTCATTTCGCTCCTTGGTTCTCGTCTCTCGGAGGCATCGGCCGTCTCCCCCTGGGTTGGACAACGTTGTGCGGTTYCCGCTCAAAATRCCTCCGTTCCYGGTCGTAAAGGGGGCAAGCTCCGGGCGGGACGGGTTTACGGGGCCGGAAGGTCAGGCCGCCGCGGTCGTCGTCGATGTCGCGCAGGCCCAGGTGGTAGGCCGCATAGGCCCAGTGGGCCTTTCTGCTGCGGCGGRCCGGACGGACTTCCCGGAGCCTCTTGTATTCCGACCGGTGGTCCTCCGGCACGTGTTCGCAGACGGGAAAGTGCCGCCTCTGCCAGGCACACACCATGTGGTAGATCTCGTCGACGCTCCCGGGGAAAAAGGACGCCATGGGCCGGTTCGCTCCCYTGTCCCCCCTCGGGAGCCGGCCGCACGCAGAACAGCGGATGCCGACAATGCTGTTGGGAAATATATCGAMGTTGTCGTCATCGCCCGCGTTTTGCCCGCCACCGCTCTCTGGTCTGTCGATAACGAATACTTCGAGCAACTTGGAACGGACRAAGCAATGGAGGGCGCTGAGGTAGAGATCGTCRACGGGGTTGGTCAGCCGCATGACRAGCACGACTGGGAGGTTTGGGTCGTCCAGGATTCTGCSCGGGTTGATCCGGCCTTTCGCCTTCTTCGTTTCGGTACGATCGGYGGACGCTTCGCCGTCTCCCCGGTCGGCCGATCCCGCGGGAACGGGGGCCTTCGGTGTCCTGTCGGTTCGACGTTCTTGCTTGGTGCTTTCGATGGGGGCCCGCGGTGTCCTGTCGGCACCCCCACTGTTTTYCCCAGCTCYTTCCCTTTGACCGAGGGGTGCCGGAGGCGGCGTTTTGGCATCCTCTGSGTGATGGAGATCCGAMTCCMTTTTCTCGCARCAAGCGTCGACAAGAGCGGGAGAAGGATTTCCAGCAGCAGAAGCGGGAGGCCCTTTCGAAGGGTCTGCGGAGCTGTTGGGTTGGGGAACAACCGGAGGCGGCGGGGAACGGCCATTGGGACTTTCCTGGCGACGCCGCTTCTTGTGGGCAGCGATCGGTTGGCCGGAGTTCTTTGTTGCCGYCGCGCAACTGCTCCCACCACCGGTGCTACCCCGGGYGGCGTCGTCGTCGTTCTTGCTGCTCTTGCCGGGTGCCTTCCCGGACACCGCCACGCCGGGGGCAGGAGTCTCCGTGCTGGGTGTGGTGGTTGCTTGGTTCGGMGAAACCACCACCCTTTCCGGGGCGACCGGCTCCAGGGTGCCCCCCCACAGCCGGAGGAGCTTCCGGGCAAACTCGATGGGGGACATGCCCGCGTTCGAGGCCGACGCAAAGCGCTGCCGAAGCTGCAGCCTCATGAGGCGTTCCTTGTGGGGTTCCGTGGCGGGGGCATAGCCCCCGGCGGGCGTGTCCAGGACTCGGTGGGGCTGCAGCGGGAGGGGAGGCGCACGGGCGTCTTGGTGTTCTTCGGCCCTTTCGGTTTCKTTTCGGTGGTMGCCGGCCCTGGCCTTCTTGGTTTCGTGGTCGTGGTGCTTTTTGCTGGCGACGCAGTAGGCATTGTTGCAGACCAGCGAAATGAGCTCGAGCGCGTATCCACAAACGGGTCGTTCGGGGCAGGCCGTGGCCCTGTACACGATTTTGCTGCCGCTGCTGCCCTGGTGCTGTCGCTTCCTTTTGCCGCTGTGGGACGAGTTGTTSCTGCGGCTGCCCGCGACGGCAACCTTTCTTTCGTTGCGGATTCCGTTTGGATTGTCGCTTGTACAATCATTGWGGTCTCGTCCTTCTAGTGGTTTGTGGGATGTTGCTTCGCCGCCGGGTAGTTTTCTTCTCGTTTCTGGCGTTTCTCTCTTTGCGGAAGAGACTGGCGCTGGAAMAACCTTGCTGCCCGAGGAAATGCCCCYCCTTTTGTGTGGCGATTTTGATGGTTTGAACGAATCAGGTGGTGGGGCCGACGACGACGAATCGRTGGCAATTCGCTTTGCTTTCTTGTTGCTTGTTTTTCGTTTGCGAGGAGAAACGGGAGGGGGRGTCTTCGGAACSTGCTGCCGGYCGTTGTGCTTGTGGTTTCTTCCGTCGGTGTCGTCGTCGTGGTTGTCGTTGCCAATCTCGTTGTGGCCGTTGCGGGGATGTTTGTTGGCGACCGAATTCGGGTTCGGAACGGGGGAGGGTGGCGGTGGCGACGGAGATACTGTCGCGTTGGGGGTAGACGCATCCGCGTTCGCGTCGTGTATGGTTTCGGATCCTTGGGTGTTTGGTTGGGCGGTAGTGGGTCTCGACCTCTTTCTGGATGGCGACCGGTGATAGCAGCCCTCGTTTTGCTTTGCTTTGTTTTCGTCGTCGCCGCCGTCGCTTCCATGCCCGTCATTCTCCTGCTGCACTCGCTCGGTGCGTAGTTTTCGAGCCATTCGCTCGGCCTGCCTCTTTGATTTCTTTACCGTGGCAGGGGGTATAGCCGTAGGAGTGGTTTTCTTCTTCGCCCACGGTTTCCTCGAAGGGCTGCCGCTTTTCTGCCGGCGACGGGTCCTGCACGGCGGTGATGGTTGCTGCTGCTGCTGATGATGATGATGATGATGCTTGTCGTCCTCTTTGTTTGCTCTTGCCATTCCTACCACTTTATCGCCAGTTTCGTGTTCGTTGCCGTCATTGGTATCGACCATGCCAATGCCTGTCTCTGAATCATTGTTGTTGAGGTTGCCATTCCTCGATGACTTCTCGCTTTTCGGCGGCGTGCTGTAGTGATCGCCTTGTCGCTCGCACACAAAAAACATTCGGGCKGTTGTGTTTGTTAAAAGTTTTGGAAAGATAACAAATCAAGCCAAGAAATCAAATCAAGAGCTTCCAATCCAGCAGGCGGCGAGGCGAAGAACTCTGATTTCTTCACTTTTTCGATTGGGAGGATTTTTGACAAACGAACAGATCTGTTCGACCAAAATCCAGCACCGATAGACTAAGGAAATAGTCCGTCCTTTTTTTTCCTTCTTTTTTTTCTTCCTGTCCCTAAAGATCACTATGGTGTTGCTTCTGCTGCATAACAACGCAATTCCAGGGCCCGCTCGATTGGATTGGATCGGATCGGATCGGATTCTGATTCGATGCAATGTGATTAGATTTCGTTTAGACTCGCCTCGATTCAACACCTTTTCTCGTTTCAAGCAATAAAAAATTCGGCTCATCAAAACGTTTTCGTCAATGAAAGAAACACTAATGATCGTTTGCTGRTTCGTTCGATCATTCCATCCAGGAAATTTGATTCGATTCGATTCGGTGCGATGCGATGCGATGCGGTATTCAATAAACTTCTGTCTTTGTGCTGCTTTGCGTTCTAGCTGTTGCTCTTGCTTGGGATGCGGATGCGGATACAGATACGGATACAGATATGGGCACGGAGATCTATTGGTTTGCGATACGATRCGATTCGAGTCGATTCGATTCGATCCGATGCAATGCAATGCGATCGTTGGGTTGRCATCTCGTGCAGAATCCATTAGAAGTAGAAGTATATCCTAACAGGTACGTACCAGGTACCGTACGGTACGGTAGTGAAGCGATGTTGCGCTGATTGTTTTGGGTGCTTTTTGTATTGCCTTCTGTTTCTAGTAATTGGCTCGCTAAGTAACGCAAATAGTTCCTACGGTGCAAAATCGAAGTTAGTGCCAGTATCAGGGCCCTCAGTTAGAATTTTCAAAAAAATTAAATAGTTTCCCGTACACCCCGCGAAACAAGGAGAAACAAAGAGAATACTTCTCTTTGTTAGAAAGGGCAATATTCTCATTGTTTCTCGTTGTTGTAACAAAGAGAAACTAAGAGAACATTGSCTCTCCTTGTTTCTCTTTGTTTCACATTGTTTAAATAAGGAGAAACAACGAGAATATTGCCTGGGTTATTTTCTCATTGTTTCTCTTCTTTGTTTAAGCAGAGTAAATTAAACCTGGGCACTATTCTCTGTATTTTTACATAGTGAAATGATGGGAGCAATTCCCGTTCATACAAGGAGAAACAAAGAGAATATTGCCCAGGCAATATTATCTTTGTTTCTGTATGTTTAAACAAAGAGAAACAAAGAGAATATTGCTTCTCCTTGTTTCTCTTTGATTCGTCAATTTTTAACAAAGAGAAACAAAGAGAATATTGCTTCTCCTTGTTTCTCTTTGTTATAACATGGAAAAACCTATGGGAATCCCTGATCTTGGTTGGTGACTGTCTTCCTTAAAAACTAACGGAGGGCCCAGTAAGGTGGAAAGTACCGGTATGTGATATAACTGTGGAGGAGCTCGCGCAGCGCGTGTACCCAAATCGTACCAGAAAATGTACTCTGTTGAGGTCCGTGTTATTTGTGTGGGAAAATTTTTGTACTGTGCGCTTGAGAGCTGGGATTGGTACAAAACTTTTCCCACACAAATAACACAGACCTCAACAGATTACATTTTCTGCTGGTACGATTTGGGTACCAGGTACACCAGTAACGTCACTGAGATTGAGAGCTTTAGCTCGAGATTGAAGTTATGTTACTGGAAGTACTATGATCTTCTTCTTCAACACCAACGACAAGCTCGAGAGCTTGTTGGTGTTGAACAAGATAGTACTTGTAGCGCTGAAAGCAGAGCTCTTCCACAGTTATTTTACGTACTCGTTGAAGCAGTTCAACATTTTCATGTACTCAGCGCCAGATTGCTGATATTGAGGACACTGATACGGAGGAGCCACTGATACGATACTACGGAGGAGGAGCCGCTGATAGGAGTCACTGCTGATACAGTACTACGGAGGCGGAGGAGCCGCTGATACGATATGGCGGAGGAGCCTCTGATATGATATGGAGGAGTCACTGCTGATACTACTACTACCGAGGACGCTCCCTGGTGATATGGAGGAGACAGGCAGCGCTGATACAATAGTACAAGTCGCTGATACGAGTTGCTGATACGATACGGCATTCTGCTGCTGGTGTTTTGCTTGTTTTTTTTCTTGTTTCCACCTGCCAATCAATATTTCTACGGTGTTTTCTACACGAGTTTGTACTGGAATAGCAATCAAGATCAGTTTTTCAACTGAGAACTGCTCTCATTTTTTTAGTACTCCTTGTACAAGATACTGTGTAGAATTACTGATACTATGTATTTACAGTAGTGAAGACAGTTTTTAGTTTGTACCTGTTGAGGTGCATTTGCCTGGTTACTTGTGCAACCAGACCCTTTTCTTGAAAACCTAGTATCGTGTAAAAAATATGGGCTCTCCTTAGGAAAGGGTTTGGTTACAAATTCTGGTTACAAAATTCAGTCCGCATGGTTTGTAACCAGTTGAGGTGCATGTACTTAAGCAAAAAATAAATAGTGTTTGTACAGTGCGATCTGCTCAACAAATCATGTACCTAGAAAATACCACGCGCGCTGAGTACATGGAAATGTTGAGCTGCTCAACGAGTACTTAAACCATGTCGATTTTGATTTTTTTGGAAATTTTAATTCTCCGGTCCCCCTGTTTTGATTATTTTTTTATCTATTTTGTACAAAAAATGTGGTAGATCTGATCACAAAATTGTTGAATTTTGAATTTCTTTATTACATTTTTTGGTGATTAAACAAGATCAATTTTTTTCAATGGACAAAAATTCATATAAAATATACATAGTACATTARCTAGTACGTTATTCATTCATAGCAGTACTATTCGCTAGTATTAGCATGATGTCACATGTGCATAATTTGGAAGGCACCATAGTAGTAGCTAGTAATAGTAGTACCACAACCACCTTCCAAATTATGCGTATGTGACATTGTACTACTTTGAGGCAGCAGGACTGGTGGTGGTGGGACCACTAGTATTATTATTACTACTACCTAGTAGTGGCACTACTACTACAACTATGGTGTGTAAAATATTAATTATACTAATAAGAAGATATTAAGATATGATAATCTAACAATAAAGGGACTCCTACTTGCACAAAATATGTGTACTCTTAAGGAGTGTTTTAGTGTGTATAGTACTAGTATGATTAATTTTAAACACACMACCAGTTAAAATTTGTCATCAAGATTGACCACACTTAACCGGTCACACTTTTGTGATCAAAACCCAYCACAATTTTTGGTACCAGGAGGGGGCTGGAGCAATTAATTCTTTCCCTAAAAAATGTAATTGACATGGTTCCTGCTCTGAAAAGAATGTAGAAGCTACTAATCAGTGAAAGCACTGTGGCTGTTTGTTGTTTCTGAAATAGTAGGAATGGAGGAATCCATTGATTTGTTATGTGGGTTGGTGGACATTGTTGGTGGTGGTGTTTTTTACTATAATGAGAAGAAGAGGTGTTCTTGTAAACAGACCACTACTACTAGAAGTTCTGCTGAGCAACTCTTGAAAGCACAACAACAACAACATAACAAGAAAACTAATTGCTTCTGTAAGACCAAGTTGAAACCAACACATCTTCCAAAGATCTTATCTGTTGCTTATTTGAGAACAGTTCCTGTATTTGCAATATTAATTTGAAATTGAGTTCAATGTGGTGTTTGTTTGTCACTTGTTTGAGTTTGATGGGTAGTTTTTTATTCATGTTCTTGTGGACATCAAAAATTAGATGTTGCTGCAGTGTTTTTAACATTCTTGGCTGAATGACCATCTTTCTGTCAAACAAAATATCCATCAATTTTGATACTTTCAAAATCCTGATACCCATTTTTCAGTTTCACAGACTTGAATGTACAACAAATGACTATATGGTTTGCTTTTGATTTTTCAACATATGTGTTGTCATCAATCATGACAGGTCTACAAACATACAATTTTAAGCACTACTAGATATGTCCTTCTGAAAGTATGGCTCCACATGCAACAATGTCAGCATCTGATGTGTCAGTAACTACCAGCAGTAAGCAATATTTCTGAAAATATCACTTTGTCTCTTCTGTATTTTCTTGTTTTGTCAATCTGCAGTTTCAGGTTTGAGGTCTTGATTGCAATAGTGTGACCTGGTAATCTGTCATTTCTATTTTTTGAAAGGGTCATTCTGAGAAACTCAGAAAATATGTCATTATTAGATTAGTACTGCACACCTGTCTGCATTGCTTAAGTATATTGTTGCATAAACAATATCTTCAAGGAGTTTGTCCCAAGGTTTTATAATTCTTGAATTGATAATTTGAACTTGCTCTTCTTTCAAACCATTTGTTCTCAAATCAAAAAGAAAGTTCCCCAGGATTACATCATATTTAAATCWGTGTTTGCTGTTAAGATCAAGAAATGTGTTGTTATTTCTTTYCAAAGATAGAATTTTTTTGTTGACAAGAGGGAGTCTCCTCCTCCCACTGGATTGAGTCAATTGAATTAGTACTTTTGACTTTCCAGTATAATCACCACCAGTCCCTTGACAGAAAAAAGATGAACTGTTAGTTATTGTTCATGGTGGATTGCCTTGAGATCCTGTATGTCATACTACTTGTTRCAGCAATTACCAATCTGTTCCTTGGAGTCCCTCCTTTTTTTAATTAATCAGACAAAAGTTCATATTTTTTTGTGTCAAAACAAAAGCAGTAACAACCTATCATTTTGAAAGCTCAACTTTGCAAAGTAATAAAAAATCATAAACTTATGTTTAACCTTGTGAAMTAGTAGAAGAGGCACTGCTATGTCAGTCAGAACCAGAACTTCTTGGGGGAAGAATGCTYCTAGGTGCTCTGAGCAGCGGCAGAACCTCCCTCCTCCAAGGAGATGTGATGGAGGCACAACCATTGAGTTGGAAATTTGTGTCATAGTAGTGGTTTTCAGGGTTCAATTGTTGTTGATAGCAGGGGTCAGGGAAGACTCTGACAAATTAGGCAGTTTTGTGTCATCTCTTCTTTGAGTATGCAACTTTGCATAGTAGTAGTGTCTGATATCTTCCAAGCTTCCAGTACATGGWGAATTTTTGACATTGTCCATATTATTTATCTCTCCTTGGATGACAACATCAAGACTTTTATGTAGGATTTTGTTGTAATRTTTTGGGTTAGGTTTTGTCTACTATCATATGCATAAGCACCAGCAGTGATACTAGTACCTGCTGCTGAGCCTGAGGAGTTGTGAAGTGCAATTTCTCTTGAATCTGGTGCTGGTACTTTGGTGGTTTGTTCTTCAGCATCTTTATGAACCTAGGTGTGTGTKGCTATTGAGTGAYAAATTGCAGTTTGTTAGTACTACTGTATTGTCTGTCTATAAACTTAATTGTATTTCTAATGATAGAGAGGAAAGTATGATGGTGAGGAACATGTTACTCTAGTGATTTTGAYATTCCTTTGACCATGCTTGGTGTCATGAATGCTACATTTGTAGTAGTARYAWGMT